ACAAACAATCAGAAGAATTAGATCTGTGGAGTCGGAAAAACAGTGGACTTTGGTGCTTGCACGTTCAGTCTTGACTTACTTGTTGTCAGTAGGGAATAAAGGACTTTAGTCCATTCCTATTCCCTAAAGAATATAATCCCTTATCGCCCATTCCGAGGTCACAGGCGGTGCCAGGATAGGAGATGAGACGCGAGACTCCATTGCAAAGGTCCTACAAGGTGTAAAGCCCGAAAGGAAAGATCCCCACCCAGCGTGCTGCACCGGGCACTGGCAGCACCTCATCCAGGGATTTCGGTTTCGAGGTAGGGGCTCGAGGTAAGGTTACGTGAGCTTTGGTTGGATGATTCCTTCCTGCAGCTTCAAATATACATCCCTGGAGCGGGCTGGCACCACACTCCCTGACCTTGACCAAGCAGCATAGGCACGCGAAAAGTCAAAAGTAACCCACCGTTGCTCCTGAGGAACTCTCGAGCGGACCCCGGGGCAACTTTAGGTATCCTCGTGACATGTTGCAGAACTGTGGGCCCGTTTCTATGGCGAACCCATGGCTTTGCAAAGGGACCAGGCGCACAATGAATAGTTCTCAGAGGCATGGGTCGCGACAAACATATTGTGTATGACTTTGCGACTCGGATGTAATAGCAAAGCGTTGTAGATGAGCCTCTGGCGTTTTGGTGGTGAGTCCGCGCGAAAATGAAAAAGGGATTCTGCGCCGAACCAACGTGTAAAGCCCAAACCCCCTAGACATCAAGGCACTCCTAATCTTGGGAAACCCTAAACCCTGTATAATCCCAGTTTCCATTTCATTGTCCATGTTCTTTTCCATTTGATTCTCCATTATTGGTGTAGTACCCCTCACCCCTAAACACCAAGTCCTAAACCCTAACCAACATTGCCACTGTAATTTTTGGACCCCCCCCGCCCTTTCTGGGCCCCCCATCACTCCGCATGGGGGGCCTGCTCTGCTGCTTCATCCGGCACTGCCTCTGCCTCCCCTAGCAAAGGCTGCTGGTGCTTAAAGGGGGAATGGCAGAGTGAATATAGGTACCACTATAGGAGTTTAGGGTCTAGGGTGGGGGAGTGAATGTAGGTACTATTACAGGGGTGTAGGGTTTCGGGTGGGGGACTGATGGCACAGCGCATGTCACGAAGGAAGTCAACTGGCAAACCTAAGCCTTGAAAGGTCTTTGAATATGGGTGCTTCCCAAAATCAGGGGCACCTTTCTTGGGGGTCCCCATAGTAAGTCTTGTATTTGTTTTGCTCTATTTTGGGGTCCCTTGGTTTTTGGGAAACTACCACATGGTGTGCCTGTGTTGTCCAGGAAAACACATTGCCCCTTGCAGAGCTCAGGCCGGTTTCTTGTTAAAACCAGATGGGTTTCCGGCTGGGCTGGCGCAAGGAAGAGTATAGTCCCCCTTAAGTAGATAGAACATGGGGTATATGGGGATCTGAGAATAATATACCCAAAGCCATATTTCATCTACTTAAGGGGGACTTTGTCCTTTATGCTATGGAAGTAGTGCATCATAGCGACTTTCGAGGTGGCTACGCTTCCCATCTGCACAGTGATGCTGATACAGCTTCCAGTACTTGCGACAAAAATATTCTAAGTGCAGCACTCAGACGAGCGCGGGATTCAACCCATCAAGCAACTGGGTATTTCGCTTTTTCCACCCCTCAACAAGAGGTACGGTTGAGACTAGAATTCCTGCATGACTTTCCTATACTATAGTACTATAACTCCCACGGACTAAGTACCTCAAGGCCCTGAAACCTCCAAGGCCTGGTTCAGGCCCAGCAGGAGGTGGCTGGGCGGCACCCATCGTCCGCAGGTGAGCGGCAAGGCATAAGTTCAGGGTCCAAGCATTTTTGTAGGAGATACTTTGCGCACATGTAGGTTCCAGAATATAGAGAATTGTGGGCCCACTGTAGTATGCATTGTTCGGGTACTTGGGTCCTTTAGTTATGGTGGTTGATTGGGCTTCGCGACTAGACGGCTGGGGTTTCGTGATGTTGGATGCTCAGCTTCAGGACTCGTAAGAGGGCTCAAGTTCAGGGCAGAGAGTGTGAGGCAACGTTATCGTCCGGATTCAGTTTGTCTAGTTATACTCAGTACAGTGCCGAGCTCCGCGCATGGTCGTACATGCTGAGTATGAAGCACCATTATTCCAGAAAAGCAAGCGCCTCTTCAGAAAAAAAACAGAAATAACAGCCGCCACTTGCTAGAGCCGTGGAAGCGACGAGTTTTCCACAAACAGCAGATCGGGTATGCAGGGGACATGGTTGTCTTCAGCTGTTGATGTGATTGAAATTGCACCCGAAACCCTAAACCATTCCAAGCATATCCTGAATTTGCGCGCGTAAACCGATAGATTCCAGAGCTTGCTCGATGTTCGGGCTGTATAATGCCAATATATACCCTGGAATGGTTTAAGGTTTGGGGCATTTTCTTTTCCATTCCTCCTATATAAGCCCACATGGGGTAATTCCGGGACTTCCTGCGTTGGGACTGCTCGGAGGGCTAGCTGCATCTAGCGGGTGGTTAAAATTATGGTCCCAAAATCGGACCATGATTCTGACAACCACCTAGACCCTACCTAACCCAAGAGCAAACTCACACCCTAAACGGCCAACAGCAGTCGCTGCTACCTCTCCTTGTCCTAAACCACAGGAAGTTTCTGGGGGAGCTGAATCGGGTGCTCTCATCGTGGCTGCCAACGGTTTGGGTCCTTGGAGTAGCAAACGCAGGCTGTACTGAAACTCATTTGGTAGAGTCTTGGAGCTACCATGCGAATCTTGTCCAGGTAGGATTCCCAGCGGGAAGCTAAGGCACGCTAAACCCTAAACCCCAAATCCTAAATCCTAAGCCCTTGGCCCTGAACCCCCCAAAAGAGTTTGAGCACGATTCGCAAGTTTTTTCGCAGTCCGCCGTGGAAGTCGTGGGAGGTCACGCAGGACGGGGTAAGAATATGGTGATGTGAGCTATAGTCCAAACTCGTGGTATTCCCCTGAAGTTTAGGGTCTAAACTCCTAGTATCCCCCTTAACGACACCTATAACACTCCCGGACAGAATCCCCTATATTACCCCCTTTAAGGACTTTAGACTGTGGGTCATGTGAAGAGTAAGGATAGAAGATCATCACCACCAGTGTCATCATATCATCCCATATACATGAGCCTTACCCAACAATGGCTGTTTACTTCGGGTACCGAACCCTTGCCACAAGTTCTTCTACTTCGACCATACCAACTAGAACGCTATGGGCTTGGAGTTGGCCTATGCTGCAGGAGATCCACACAAGCCTGGCCGTTTATTCCTCTCATATTTGTCCAAAAAGAGCTCTGTCCAAGGATCGCTGAGTAGTTGTTAGTTCTAAGCAACCAGGGATCTGCCATGAAAGCTGTACGAGTGCGGATAGAAACACAAACACACACAACAGAATCACATCTTGACACATCTTAATCACCTGGAGGTTAAGTTTGCCAGTTCGTTGAGGGATTCTTCTGAAGATACTGGCTCAGATAAGATTCCCCGCCATGAAGTGGAGCCGCACGGCGTTGTAAGCTATGACAGAGCACGCCATGGGCTTCCCAACCCCTCTCAGAAATCATCAGCAAAGCAACGAAATCGAGGAGTAGGACTAACGCCGCGATCAGCTGGGTAGCATGTCTGCTCTGTGAATCGTATTGCACTTTCCAAAAACCAAACCCTCCACCTCAAAATATGGTAGTTTCCCAATATAGGGGAACCCCAATATAGACCCCAAAATACAACAGTCCTTATGATTAGCGCCCCAAAATGTTACCCCTAATTTTCGGAAACTACCATATTCACCGTAAACCGTTCGGAAGTCCCTGGGATGCTGTGGAGTAACGTCCTCAGAGCTTTGGGACCTTTGCCACGCAGCCGGGTGTTCAGCCATGGAACATAGATTAGAAACATGAGCCATTGTCTAAACTCCTAGTATAGGCGGTTTAGGGTTTAGGGTTTAGGGTGTATCCCCCTTAATAACCATTATAGTAGTGCCCTATATAATCCCCTATATAACCCCCTTTAAGGAGTTTAGACTATAGCTCACATGCTGCAAAGGCCAGAAGAATCAGACGAAGACAGGCCTAATCCCTATAATCCCCGAGATAATCCCAGTTCCATTTCATGTTCGATTTTCTTTTCCATTTGATTCTGCACTATAGTGGTTTCCATTCTTTTTTCCATTCTCCAATATCCATCGAGTTCTGCTTGGTCGGTGTGCCATGGGAGCCTTGGGGTACGTGCAAAGACAAATAGATAGCACAAGCAGAACACTTCCCAAATCATCACAAGACTAGCATTAGCTGTAACATGGATTTCGCCAAGCAGGCATCTTCGACATCCTCTGGAGCTTTGCAAGCTTTCAAATGTGGAGGTTTCTCACGCGATTATGGGGCTCCCAAGGTCTATTGAGGGACAATCTTGAGAAACTTCCATGTGGAGGTTCCCTGAAAGCGCTACGTCAAAGCGCATCTCGAAATCTTTGCAGCGAGTCCGGACAATCCTCCAGTTCGTGGAATCTGCAGCATGCCAACACGTGATTAGAGTATAGTCCCAAATGTGTGTTTAGAGGGTTATAGAGGGCAACAAAGGGATGTTTGGGGTTCAGGGTTTAGAGTTTCCACGAATTAGGGGTCCCTTTTTGCAGGGTAACTATTTATAACAATGGTTATATTACTTGGGGATCTATGTTGGGGAAGGGTTTAGGGTTTAGGGTTTACCTAGACCCTCCAATGTAGTACCTTTTTGGTAGCCCTAATAAGAGTCCTAACCAAAGACCTATACCAAACCCAAAAGGGAACCACATTGGAGGGTCTAGGTAGGGTTTAGGGTTCAGGGTTTCGGGTATAACCTTACCGGTGCTTGAGGGAACAGTGGCGAAGTGAATATAGGTACCATGATAGGGGTATATACCGCGCTGACATAGGCATTGTTATAGGGCTCCACTGGCCGAGGGCTTCACGACTTCAGCCAGTCTTTCTCTTTTGCAGGCGCTTCTCCAGTTGTTTAAAGGCCTGCTCTACATCCTGCTCGATGAGGAGTTTTCTATCTACATTCTCATCTTCCGCAGCCCTTGTTGCAATGGCTGCGGCTGCAGAGTTCATAAGATGATCAACCAGGCCAGCATTGTAGCGCGGAATTGTCTTCTGCATGAAGGTTGTGTTGAAACGTTCCTGCAGATTTGCTTGAAATGATTCCCTGTTGGTGTTGTAGATGAACTTGTAGCCAGCGTGGTTCTCTGCCTTGTCCATGAAAATTCTCATGAGCTCGTGGGGCTTGTAGTCGTCTAGGTGGATTTCCATGTGAATCCTCCGTTCCAAGCCTTCATTGATATTGTACAACTTTACGAGGTCCTTCCGGTAACCTGCGAAGATGACTGTCACATCGCTCGCATCACCAAGTAGCGCCATGATTTCCTCCAAGACGTCCCTTCCGCAAGGGTTGGGGTTGTTTACGAGCCTCTCCGCCTCGTCGATAAAAAGAATGCCACCTTTGGCTTCCACCATCCTTCGCTGACTGGAAGCGCTTGGCGTTTGCCATCACTCGTGCACTTTCAACTATAGGTGAAATCCTACTGGCGTGGGCTCGGCACAACATGTCAATATCGCTGCGCAGAACTATTCGGAACATCTCCTGCAACCTAGCTAGCGAGGCGACGATGTGTGCGTAAAGGCCTTGGGTGAACTGAGTAAGTAAAACAGGATGACACGTGATGCTTCTGCCTGACGGCCTTCTGGACCCAGCATCATGCTATCCATCAAACTCTCATGATCAACCTCACCAAGAAGCTTTTCCTTGATGATGGTATGCGTCGTCCTCCCTGCATCGTCTGTAACCAACTCCCCGCGCTGAACGTCCATGATATCGCCTGGCAAAAAGCTCTACACTTTTTGGGTTTCAGGCAGAGTCTACCTTTAGGAAGAAGCTGCTACTCAGCATCGATCAGGAGAAAATCCAGGTCAAGCTGCAACTGCTCCTTTCTTTTTGCAGACATCATGGTGCCCAGCCCTATCAAGCTTCCCTCCCGCCTCGGGTGAGTAAGCCAAACCTGAGCTGTCACAAACGCCGCGTAACATGATAGCCTGCTCTTCAGAAAGCAAAGCTTCCAACTCTCAATCCTAAATCCTGAGCCCTGAAGCCCTAAAGCACGTGGAGGTTTCCCAAAATTGGGGGTACCTTTTTGGGGCCCCAATAAGAAGGATTATAGTATTTTGGGACCACATTGGGGCCTTATTTTGGGAAAGTGCCATGTAAGACCGCCCAGGAGCTGCTTGAAGATGTTGCCCAGCTCTCGCGCTACCATCGTCTTGCCAGTCCCTGGGTTGCCAGTCAAGACCTGAGTAGTTCTCCTGTTGACACTAGCCATCCTGCATGACCCTAGTATGCTAGGATACCATTATTCCCAAGGGACATGCAGGATTTCTTTGGATCCCCCGTACAACTTAGAAAGCGCCCGTGAAAGCCCATTGGTCTGGCGTAAAATCCAGCTTGCCAAGGCGGTCACATGCCCAAAGCCTCAATGCGCACAGTATATTCACCTATGAACCAGAAGGGTTCCCTTATCACTCCTTTGGAGACCAAGCATATGCAATATAGCTACGTGGACCCTGTGGGCTAGGCCCGGATAGGCGCAGAACCACGGCCGCGCGCTTTGGGAGCCTGCCTAAACTCTAAATCCAAAAGCAACAGGATGTCAGGTTTGCAACCTCCAAGTACTGCAAGCACTGGCCCGTATATACAGGTGGTTTCAATGAATATGGTGGCCCCAATGTAAACATCAAAATGCGATTGTCCGGATTATGGGCCACCCCAAACAATATGACTAGTTTTGGGAGACCCCTCACAAGGTACCCGGCACTGGCATCAACTTGAATCACAAACCCTGCGTTGCACAGCGCAAATCACAAGGGGAGGCCATAATTTTAGGAGAGGACTATCCGTATCAACTCATATTCGAGGAGCTCCCTACAAACACCTACAGAACTCTGAAGGGCTCACCCCTAGCTATAGTGATACCCCAATCCAAGGTAGTTATACGGATTCTACTACAATTTCTAATTTATGATGTGCCATTATCTAAACTCCTAGTATGCCCCTTAAATAACCCCTATAATCCTCCCCCAAATAACCCCGTGTAACCCCCCTTTAAGGAGTTTAGACTATAGCTCATATGTAGTGGCAAGCTGTAAAGTGAAGGGGGAGTGGCTTGCTTCCTGGCCGGCGCGAAGTGACCATCTGCTGATGCTGCTGAGCAAGCCGATACCTGGGCTTAGTACTGGTTCCTAGTAGAGAATAAGGGAATATCATCCCTATATAATATACTCCCTTGTTCCCCACCAACCCCCAGTAAGTATACCCCTATAGAGGTTTCTGAAAATGGAGGTATGCTGATAAATCTCAAAGTATGCAGGGACGGATTACAGGGATTCCTCTGAGGCATTCTTCAAAGATCTTAGAAAACTCCACCCGTTCTCATTGTGTATAGTGAAAATAATCGCACTTTCAATCTTTGTCATGGTAGTAGCAAGGCAGGGACAATAGTTTCAATACTACTGTTTGAAGTGCACAAGTTGTAGCCCCAGCCCCATGTGCGCAGTGTTTTAGGCGGAGAGGTAGCTGCTCAGAGTCAGAGACTCAAAGAAGGTACACGTGTACTACCTGGGATAATGGAAAAGAAAATGGAAGCTACTATTCAGGCTAGGCACTGTTCTACCAGCTGGCTTTTTAAGTCAGGCCTGCCCACAATTTTCTCGTCCAAGCATTTGCGGAACTCTTGCTCAGTCTGCATGCAATCCTTTTGCTTGTCCTTTTCCTCAGGCAGGTCGCCACGGAAGCTCCTCAGGTAGTCCAAAAACATCATTATTCTGATTATTACTATCATTAATGGAATCTGCCTTTCTGGTTCTATGTTTTGGTTAGGTTTCCTTGACTAGGTGATATTGCTTTAGTTCCCTCCTATTCGAACCTCTGAACACCCCTAGCAATAGACAAAGAACAGGCATTTGACGTGAAAGCTACATGACCAGCCGCTAAGGCCTCAACTGCTTCTCTTGAGCCCACGGTTTCGGTTTTGAATGAATTGGACTTCAGACCCTTGGCCATCAATTACTGTGTCAATTATGCGTTCGTCTCGTCGCTGTTCACCTGAGAGACTTTGCGCATACTTGGCGCTCACCAGTTCATAGGTCTCTGGCGCAAATCTATTTTACAACGCCCCCTATACAAAATCCGAAGATCCTCAAGCCTTCCTGAGAGACCCCTTGTGGCCCCGTAAGGTCCCTTCGAACGTCAGGCGAATCTTACCACATCCATGGCTCCATGCCGTCAAGCTTTGGCGAAGAAGGCATGAGAGCATCGAAATCAACACCTTGGCCCGTCCCTTCTTGAGCTACCTACGATTACGACTATATTTGTCATTAATACTGTTACTGTAACTTATCTTATTACTAGCATTACTACGGTTACTACTGTTACTATTGTTACTTATATACTCTTACTATTCCTGGTATTGTTATTACTATCTACTACTTTCGCTACTATTGATCTTTGTAATCTTCCAAAATAACATGGAACGCACTGTAGCGCCCTTTTAACGGTGCTCAGTCTTGATAGGTGCCTGTTCATGGTTTTATGTCAATTTGAGGGTAGGCAGGGTTTGTTGTTGAGAACTTAGGGGTTGGAAATCACGGTGGCCATGTCTCGGCAGGCAGAATGCAGGCACGGTATGGATTGTTTTGAATCCTTTCGCGCTTGTTGTGCGATTGCTCTATGCCTTACAACATGATGACCAGGAACACACGAACCTGCCTGGAGAAAGGTTGCTGAACCCCGTCATTGGCTGCTACGTATTTGGTGATCCTGGCAACAGCCCAAACTCCCCAATTCCTCGTACCGCCCTTGTGGAATCTATTGCTACATCCACTGTCAACCTAGTTCACGCTGTAGTGATACCCCGCACTCTTGCATGAATTTCTGCACCTACGCATCACAATCTCCACCATGGCCTCCAGCAACAGGGCCGCTACCACTTTTTGTTTCTCTATCACATTTTAAATGCTACCATTTCCAGAACCCCTACGAGCATGCTATATATTACCCCTAAATAGCCCCTATATAATACAGTAGTTGCCATTTTCTCTTCCATTGTCCCTATACAATTTATAGTACTACCTGGAGGATAACCCGTTTGAGATGCTGGCAGTTGCCAGGACCCCAGGAAGCCATGTTTGGTGGCCGCGCCGGCGCTGCGCGGGCTGCGACATGGCCTGATGATGCCTTACATCGTGACGGCTTTGTGGCTATGGGCCTAAACTGAAGACGGTATTTTGTCCCAGTAGATAGGGCATCCGAATTTTGTTCAGAAATACCTAGAAGTGCTCCATTTCAACTCGACAAGGGTAGCTCAGAGCCTTGGTGCAAACATGTGTAAGGGCCAAACCAGGTACCAACATTAAATAGATAATGGAGAATCACGTGGACACGAAAATAGAACATGACGTGGAAACTGCGTATATATGAGCCATCATCTAAACTCCTGGCACCCTGAATAACCTCCATAATACTCCCCTATATAACCCCTTTACAGCACTTGGACTTTTTGCTCAAATAGGTGTGTTAAGGGGTCTGCCCTGCTGTAGTAGGGTTTACGGTGATGTTTCTACTTCCCGCTTAGCCGAGGCTTCTGGCAACCAAAGCCCTGGGTCCTTTGATGTTGAAATTGCACGGGGTTGTTGGGGATATATAGGGGTTTTATAGGGATGTATGGGGGCTTATTAGGATTTATAGAGAGAAGAGTGTAGGGTTTAGGGTTGGCAGGAGGAAGATAAAAGCTCTTTAAACAGGTCGATGCTTCGGACTCAAACGAATTCCAGAGTCCCTTAGAGTTTAGGGTTTAGGTTCAGGGTTTAGTTTTTAGGGTTTAGGTTTTAGGGGTTACAGAGCTTAGAGTTCAGGTTTAGCATTTTAGGGCTTAGATACAGTCAGCACAAAAATGAAGTTCTCTGCGGTCTTCACCCAGTGGACCACTCCATGGTGATCTCAAGCACTACTGCAGATCGGAAGGCTATGAATCGAACCTCCAGGAAGCTAAGCCAACCTCCCTCCCAAAATGCCTCAAACTTTACCCCCCCCATCCTACCCTCTTAGTTACTCCTTGAATGCGCATGGCGCACTTGCTGGAGAGGGCGGCTGCAGCAGAGCTACCCAAAGCCAGAGCCAAATGGCTTCAACATGATGGCTTTAGCTGTAGGGTGAGTTTGGGTTGCAAGCTTTCAAGCATCATTTTATAGCGGAGCGCGGCACCCTTGCTTTCCTACCACCAAGTTTTGAAGGTCATGATTGCAAGCACCGGGGTGTCAAAACTTGAGGTTCTGCTTTGACTCTTAGTAGACCACCCCTGTTCAACCCAATTTTCGATTTGCATGGTTTTCAATAACGTGTGGCAATGCAGGCGATCTTAGCTGGTTACTACCGGATAGACAACATGGCAAGTTTTCGTCAAAAATTCAAGCGGGGCTTGTAGTTCAGCTTGCCCTCCCAAGCTTGCACTACTGGTAGTAGCACTTAGTTAGAGGCAAAGGCCGATGGCAAAAAACAAGGAGGGTTTAGGGTCTATAGGGTTTAGGGTTTGGGGGTTTAGGGTATATAGGGTTTAGGGTCTATAGGGTTTGGGGTATAAGCCCTGGAAACCTCACGCACGCCATGGTCAACCTTTCTCCTTGCAAAGCCTGGCCGTCCATCGAAACCACTGCATATGCAGTGGCGAGTCTAGCCCCTGAGAAGGACATTGTACCTGGGTCAAGTAGAAAGTATGTTACTATTGCTAGTAGTCTATTCTTACCTTTTTATTATAAATACTACTGTATTATAATGATAATAACGATTATTCTTATTCGGATTTTCATACAAACTGCATGGGAAATTCCCGACTGCGAGGTAGAACAGCAAGCACAAACATGGGGTCCCAACATTTTGAAACTCCAATGTTCGGAACTTCCGAAGGAAATTCGAGGATTTTGGTCATCACAGTCCCCCAGGCTAGGACCCTATAACTATACAACACATCAGTACGATAGGGTCGTCAGCTTGCGTGTTTCGTACAATCGAAATCTTCGTCCCAGGGAAGGATTTAGCCTGAAGCCACCGGCCCAGAACCAAGATAACCGCCAGCAGGTGGAAAAGGAGGGATAACTGGCGTTCTTTTAAAGCTTAGAAGGGTCCAAACTATACTAACTAAGACTAAGACTTGCTGAGTCACCTTGACTGACCCAGCCTCCGTAGGCCCCCCAAGAATTGACCCATCAAAAGGCCAGGGCACGTGGTCGATGGATCTTCCCAGAAATTAACAAAGTTCCACACTCCGTTTGCAATGTAGACCATCCTCAGAACAGCTTGTCTGATGTCCCTATAGAATCCCTATATAACCCCTATAATCCCTGTCGCTTCCATTTTCTTGTCCAGTATCCCAATATTACGCCAAGATTACCCCAACGTAGCAGGAACAGCTCTGATGACATCCCGAATACGGCAGGTTATAGCACTTCCACAGTGAAAGAATATCGCCACACAAAGAAGGGGCAATTTCAATCATCGCGGCCTAGCAGCGGCAGCGGCAGTAGGTGCAGCAGGAGCACGAGCAATAGCAGCACAGCTGGTACTCAGACTGGCTGTTTCTATCCATCTCTGATTGACGACCATGGCCATTGGCCATTGAAAGGATCGACAAAACACGGATCACGGCGTGCACATTCTTTATTTAACCCTTTGGAAAGCTCTTTCAGCATTCCTTTTGAACTGGGGCTGAAGCCTCTGTGAGTCTCTGTCTCTCTCCTACCCTTCGTTTTTTCAATCATTACAACAGGAAGTAAATATCAAACCTCACCTTTAGGCTTAATTCCCGTAAAGATATGGCATGCCTCGATTCCAAGGACCCCAAAAGCCTAGACGAACCGTCACTCGGAACTCTGTGACCAAGCCACACTCAATACTGCCTGGTGAACCTGTAGCTCAAAACCCTTCTTGTATGCCACAATACCACATGGCATCGAAATCCAATACATCTACGATACTGTCAGTCCTTCCCCTCTGCAGATTACAATACCATTTGGCAACCCCAAGCCGTACATTCCCATTCCCAAAGGGACTGGGCACCTGTATAGTGTGTACTTAGGCAAGAAAGAACCTGCTCAGCAACCTAAGAATATGCTATACATATGTATACATATATATATATATGTATGTATATATATGTACCTGAACCGAAGGGCTTACAGGGCTAATTCCATCAAGGGAACTTGTTCGGAGTGTGGTGGTTCGGGTTCGTGGCCAGCCAGAAGCCACCACCTCCTGATGAGACCAGCCTCCACAAGCACTTCTGATCCTGGATGGCATGCGACGTGGGGAAAGTCGGGGAGGGGACATTGACATTTTAGTTGTGTTGAACTGGGGGTTATCATTGAGATGTTGTAGGGAGGAACACTTAACCACAAGCAGTTCTTACAGGTTCATGGTTAGTTTTATGTTTCGCGATCCTGAATAAGACCGAGCTGTCTGAGCATCGCCAATAATGGAAAATCGAAAAGCACATGTGCAGACTTTTGGCTGCGGAGTTGAAGTGAACATAAAATCGAAGAAATCGAAACTAGTCGACCAGACTTGCGGCTCTCCAACAGCCGATGTGTGGTCGAGCTTTTGTTCGACTGTTTCAATTGTTGGTCGATATTCGGCCCGATTTTGAGTTTCGGATTTTTGGCCGATGTTTGCTCGTTTTCGATTTGTCCGAACGAAGGGGTTTTGTCGGTGTTTGACCGACTTTTGGTCGCTTTCGAAGTTCCTGATCTTTTCATTTTTTGTGGGTGTTTGCCTGATTGCCCGACTCTTGGCCGATTTTTTTTGCCGGCTTCCCCTTTCGATTTTGGTTTATTTTCGAATGTTGTTTCGATCCGTTTTCCATTTTCGGTGGGTCTGGGATTCCATGTTGATCTTGATACATCCTGTCTTGTTAGGGGATCGAGAAACATAACGTTAGTCAAGCTATAAGTCTTCTAAACAAGTTGAAAGCACCCTTCTCCCAATTCTGTACCCTCTTTTCTAGCTACCCATGAACCCCTAAGTTGGAGCACTTGGAACTTTTTGCAGATAGGCATTCCTATATGGAGGTCTTGCTACTAAGGACCCCTCTGGTGAGATAGAGGGCATGGTAGCAACGAAAATCGAATTGAATCATAGTCATACATATCAAAACCTAATTTCTTGCCCGCCCTCCGGATTCGAGATCCAAAATCGCTTCTCCAACAACGCTTTGTGGGCCCACATGCCTATCACAACAACAAAAGCGGCATTCAATTTTCTTGGGTCAAGCCATGGGTTGCAATTTTGGGTTTAGGGGTTTAGGG